GGGGGGGGGGAAGGATAGCAGCAAATTTAAGAAACAGTCACTGTTAAATAGTCTTAATGGCATGTCATTAAAAGAGGCTAAAAATTCTAAAGTTTCTCAAAGGCACCTTCCAAACATGCTCAGTTTTGTGTTATTCTCAGGGAACACAAACGCCTCCCCCAACTGGTTCTTTTCAATTACTATCTACAACACTGTTAGCTTTTTATATACATGTATAAATTCTCTCCTTGAGTGTAATCATCTGGTAGAAAAAATGTGGATCATCATCTCTGAGAAAATCAACAGCTTCCAAACCAATATATCTGTTAATGAACCACCCTCCTTATTACCCTAACATACGTTATATCCGTTTCTGAAGCCCCCATTATTCAGGCAACCAGAAGCTGAGCATTGAGCCATGCAGTGTCACACTGACTGACTTTTACTGTTCTTGCTTTTCATATTCCTCTTCAAATCTTCAACTTTTTCATCTTCCTGCTCTGATCTATCCTTGGTTCCAGGTCTGGACTGTGTACCTTACTGAGGAGTTTGTTCACTGGAAATTACCAGTGGGATTGAAGTTCTGACTCTGATTTAAGACATTTTAAAAGCATTTTAGAGCAGCATCATGCAGCCTATTGACCACTGTGAACATGTAGTACTACTATAGCTTGGGTAATAGTAAATAGTACTGTATCTTGGGCTAGTAAAAAAGCTTATTCAGACTAGTATTTAAAAGATACTACATCTTCAGAGAGAGAGAACGTGCATGCGTGCCTAGCATGCTAATTTATCATGACTCCAGCACTGAATGTGTGTCGTATGCTTCGAAGGCAATTCATTCTAAGCACTCACACTTGACAAAATAGATAAATGAAAGCTGAAAGCAAGGGTAAATACATGTTAGCTTATTTTAGATAGTTATTGCACTATTTAAGGTTACACAGTTTAGTTATTCTTCCAGTATTATGCTCAACTACATATAATTATATTTGTCAGCATTAAATTTACATTTAGGTTTTAAGAGGTCTAGCTAGCTAGAATAATTAAAAAAAAAAAAAAAAAAACCAAACCAAAAAACAGAAATAGATTCAAATTAAGCTGAACTAAGAAAATCATAGATCACAATAAAAATATCCATAAAGGATGTTTTCAATGATTCTCTCTAGCCATTTTTTTAAAAACAAAGACACAGCACAGTTTGCAGTACTCTACCAAATACATTCATATGGATTTCACATGAATGGAAAGTTCTACTTAACATGTAAATACCCACAAAAGACAGACAAAAAAACCCAAAGGAAGAGCTACTGAAAGGTTCTAAATAAACGAAGAACTTAAAAACACTTACGGTAACTACTTTCACTATCGCTGGCATTAGAGGTTACATGCTCTGAAATTGCAACACAATGGAAAAAAAAAATAAGGAACATACACTAATGGCATGAGTCCAAAAGAAAGCAAACTGACACAAAATAATCCAGATGAAAGACAATACTGATATCAAAATGCTGAAATCAATACATACTGCATATAAAAGTTTTAAGGAACTTCTCATAGCTCTCAGGGTCAAGCTTAATTTCATACGAAAGGAATTGATGTTAATAAAAAGAAAAACATTAAACAGCACATCAAAATAAGATTACGAAAAGTACACTAATTCATAGTTCACATGTAACCCTGCAATTTTTAGGTTTTCACTTCTTACTCTAGAGGTAAGAATACAGTTATGAAGCAAGTGTGCTTCTAGTAATTAATAAACATCAAAAAAAGTCAGTCATCATAGGTAAGCTAATTAACTTTTTTAAATGTTTTTGGATAAAGTGAACTAATATCTTTAAACCACAAATCTCTGCTAGACTGAACTCCCTCATTTCATTTCTGCGCAGGAAAAACAAATACTTGCTATGTTTGCAAGTACCAATCAATAATTTGGATCTATTTCCATTTCATTTTCTTGACCTGGAAAAAGAATGTCCATGGAAAAGGGAAATAGTAATGTTTAAAAGCTTGGTAGAACATGAAAGGGTGTCATTGTTAATTAAGAATACAAGTGTGATAGTCTGATAATGGGCACAATTGTAAAGATGTAAAGCCTAAAATGCCAACAAGAACAGCAGGCTTGCAGAGTCCAAGTAACACAGCTTGCATTAACCGTAGTAAGTTTCAAAAAGTCTGACTGTGCTGAAAAATAGGCTAGAAGCCATCTGTTTTTCTAACAGAACCACCTAGGGACATTTCTGGACTATATTACACAGTTTAAACTAGGTATGATCATAAGGCCATAAAGGCTGCTTATGATCTTCTGCTCTAACCCATAAGGCAATAAAGCTTGCTAAGGTCTTCTGCTCTAGACCAAGAACTTAGCCATTTCAGAAATGGAAAATTAATGTTACAGCTACTAGAATTTCATGATTCAAGCCAAGTACGGAAGTACACCACTTTTTACTTGTAATTTCAGGAACACCGTACGTAACAGTTACGCCCTGTAAAGAAATGTTACTTTTATGATTTCCAGTCACATGTCTTTACTAAGTTTGCTATTCCATAAATGCATAACAATATATGTGTTTAATATCAAGGTCTTGATTTTTTTTTTCATTTGTCATTTTAGTACAATGGTGCTATCTGTATACACAGATAGATCTGTTAAGAGTACTCAGAAACTTTTGAATCTTACTGTATTTAGTTAACACTTCTTCAAGAAATAGAATAAATGCTTATGTGTCTCCTCTATTAGCTACCCCTCTACACATTCTAAAAGCATCATAAGAGTTCAGATAAGGCAGACAGCAACAGTTCTCATGGCATTCGTTAAGCAAAGTTTTTTATTTATGTAGCTGTAAACATCAGTCACCTAGAGAGAAGATTGAAAATTGTAACTGTAAAGTATTACAGCAATGGTTGTACTATTACTGTAAAAAGCCATAGGTTATTTTTAAATAAATAAAAATACAAAGACAAGATAGAAGTGACATTAAAAAAAAAATCACTAAATTTAAAAACATGGTACTATTAAGGACAAACAAGTAAGCGCTGGTAAGCTTCTGAACAACAACAAAAAATTCTAATGTGATAGTCACGTGAACTTAAAGTTACATGTTTCTGAGAGCAAAAAACCCCAGAACACTGCAAACTAGAAAAAGCTTATGAAACATTTTTGGTGTCAACCTCCTCATGCCAGTAGAGCACCAGTCTCAAAGAGATCTGTTTAAAAAAAAAAAAAGTAGTAATTTTTCAGATGGAGGTTAAAATAACTTGGGAGTATTTTGATCACTTACTCAGGCCTTTTGATCCTATGTCGTCAGGGACCTCCTGCAGAGTAGTCCCCAGAGGGCAAGCAATAAAAAGACAATCACAAAGAAAATAATTGTCAGTAATATATAAAATTGGCGCTACGACAGGAGACAGTTCCCAGAACATCACAGGGGTGGATAAGTCTATAGGATTTGACCTGACTGGCACATGAAGTGTAATCAGTGATGCAAATGGCAGAGAATGCAGTTTATAGCAGATCTTGTCTGAATTAGCAAACTTATGCAACTGCTTTTTGAGAAGACACTTTTTTTTCTTTTTTTTTTTTTTTTTTTTTTTTTTTTTTTTTTTTTTTTTTTTTTTAGTACTGGCAACAACGATGAAAATCAAAGTAAACTCTCTTCATTGGGAAAACCAAATTAGAATGAATGACTTTGAAGAAGCCAGTCTAAAGAGACTGATTCGAGAAGCTGGTAACTCCATTATACTCTCTTTGCTGCTGTGCCCTCTCCTCCACATCAGAAATGAGGAATCATCACTGACAGCACAGGAAGGCTTTTACCTCCTCCAGTTACGTACACACTGTTACTCAACAGTATTACCCAGTTTATTCCAAACTGGGATACTCTTGCGTTAAATTTTACTTTAACAGTAAACAAACAGTTTTGTAGATTTTGTAGATTAGTTTGTCATTGGCACCTCAAGTTTGTTAGCCTGTTGCAGCTCATGAAACTGTCTCCATGGTAACACCCTACTGCAATCTAGCAGGCCCTTCTACTTGTGCTTTGCTCTCCATTGAATGCCACATACTTACGGTCAATATCACTGGTTTCCTGCTCACTCTGGTCCTTGTTCTTGTAGAAGGGAAATTTTCGGGAAAAGAGGTTCTTTTTACGCTTGTCATTGAATGACTGCTGAAGAAGAGAAGGAGGGGCAAAACAAAGGATGTCTAATGTCTGTGTGAACAAAGGCCCAGACCAGCAGCTTTGTGGAAGCTGACTCCTATAACCACATTATGCAGTGCATATTTCAGTTTAACACTATCTCCTCAGCTCGTTATAAAATGGGAGATTGGGATCATGGCTTTGCTCACACCATATTTCACAAGTTTGTTACAGAGAGAACTGTCAGGCTGGTTCATCCTATATGGCGTGACCTGTATTTCATAAATTTAGGCTTGCTGGGAGTGTAAAAAGATCTGAAAAACTAGGCTGCTATAAGGTGGCCAAACCATAATGAACTTAATTAAATCACTGATGTTATCTAATATAGTGTTTACAGTATTTTTAAAAAATGCTGAGGCTCTACACTGCTTTTGCAAACAGCTGACATCATAACAGCACACCAGAATTATTTGCCAGTGTTACCCATTTGCAAAGGCAAACACTGTAAATACTTTGGTGGCAACTGCTAAATAACATATCATACAGTAAAGATAAATGAAGTTAAAAGTTGGTGTTGTACTGAATGCTCTTACGATAAAACTAAGTAACAGTGAAATAGGAAAAAAGGAAAAAAGAAATGCGTCTAGTTAACATATCCAAACAATCAAACCCCTCAAACCTGTGTTTGTTTCAATCTTTCACAACTGTAATTCATTGCCAGTTCACTGGAAGAGATTACTTCTGTCTACATAATTTTGCATCCCAATACCAAGATTAAGTTTCAAAAGATCATATAACACCAGGTTGGAAGGGACCTCAAGGGTCATCTGGTCCAACCTTTCCTGGAAAAAGCACAGTCTAGACAAGATGGCCCAGCACCCTGTCCAGCTGAATCTGAAAAGTGTCCAATGTTGGGGAATCCACCACTTCCCTGGGGAGATAATTCCAATGGCTGGTTGTTCTCACTGTAAAAAATTTTCTTCTTGTGTCCGATCAGAATCTCCCCAGGAGCAACTTGTACCCACTACCTGTCTTTTCCATGTGACTCCATCCTTTAAATACTGGGACATGGCAATAAGGTCTCCCCTAAACTTTCTTTTCTCAAAGCTGAGCAAACCCAATTCTCTCTGCCTTTTCTCAAATGGCAGGTTTTCCAGTCCTCTGAGATACAAACTCATTTGTTTACTGTGTCAATTATTTTTTCAAGGGTGCATTTATAGAAAAATCCTGTTTATCCAAGGATCATGTTCAGCAACTTTTGACATTAACTGCTTATGTTGCTTAAGAATTTCTGCATCTCAGTTGCTACAAAAATTTCTGGAGTTACCTATACAGACATATACATATCCACCCATTTGAATATAAACTATCATTGTGCTCCTTGTCTAAGTGATGGAGAGCATCAATGTATTTTCATTCATATAGATAGGCATGTCTACAGGTGTAATTAACAGAGATTTTTGTAATATCTGCCATGTCTTCTGCTGAAGACATTATGTGACTACAGCACCTTTAATTTACTGTTCTAAGTCAATAAAAAAACTCAATGTATAAGTAAATCAGTAACTCTTTTGTGCAATTACGCCCAGAACAAGAACTAATATAGCTAACTTGAATTTCAGCTAATATAGCTGAAATTTCTTTTCAAAAAGTGAACCATGTGACATGAAATTTGCCATGTGTTTGTCATTTGGTTTGCAGAAACTACTATGGGAAGGATGGCAAAAGTGAGAAAATGCCCAACTTGATTTTCAGATCCTGCATGGGGGGACTGTTTATTTCTAAGCCAAGCTTTCTAAGCTAAGCTAAATCAAGCAGAGCTCATGTGCAGCAGGAAGTAATAAAAATTCCATGGAACCATTCTTTAAAAATTACTTTTTAAAAAAAAAAAATTTTTCAATTCACACATTATCTATTATCTGTATCTATTATTCATCTATTACTACTTCTAAAATTTGGAGCATGTTAACTTTTAAGTAATTCTTCAGCCAGTGTGAGCTCATCTTCCTCTATTATATGCAATACAGTTGCAAAAGTATCTTTTCTACCAACATTAAGTATGGAATGAAATATAGAAACAACTAGGGGTCAAATAGGACAAAGTTTTTTTCAAACGGTAGGCCACTTTCTTTGGTACAATTACAAAACTAGCATTTGGCCTTCCTAAAGTGAATGCCTATAGTGCAACACAAAAAGCTGCATCCTGCTACACTACTAACAATCCTTCTGGCCATCTGTTTTATTACAGACTTGCTTGGCAGTATCAGATACTGAAACATCCAGTGGTATTTTCCTTAACATTGTTTAAAAAAATTACTTAAAATTACCAGGTGTTAAGGAGGCACATGGTACCAAGGGAGCACAATCAGCAACACTGAGCTCTGGAAATAGCAATACTGTTTAAGTGGGAAATCCATAAAACCTTTAATTGGCTGGCATCTGTGTTCAAGTAAAACTGTCATTCCACTGTAAGAACTGGTAAATTATCAACCTGACATATGGACAAAAGAACTGGTTTGAAGCCAATCATATGCTTGCAGGAAACATAGTGGGAATGGGCAAGGTTTAAGTTATGGTCCTTGTGACCACCTTTACCTTGAGTCAGCAAGTCATTGTAATTTATTTCTCATAATCAGAAAGGTTACTGTAATCTACAGAACAAGGGCAACAAAGAAATATGCCCAGAGGAGATCTTTGCTGAGTATACTGAAAAATACTGTAAAATGAATTTCAAAAAATGGAAGTCTCACATCTATGTAACTGTTCACTTCAGACAACTCCCTCAGTTTGGGCAAAAGAACAGGAGAAATAAAAGCTAAAATGTTGCAGTTTAACTGAGGTGGTGAGACTCTGCAATGTGTATAGTTAAAATGAGTGGCTGATTTATTGTACTTCATAAAATTTAATCAGATTCTTCATTTTAGTTTTGAAAATATTTCATGACAATGATTATTTTAACTTTTTGTACAGTACATCTTACTGAACTAATATTAAATTTTATATACTGCATGTATAATGGTCAGAGTCAGTTCCATTGCCAAAAAAAAAAAAAAAAAAAAAAAAAAAAAAAAAAGGTAATATTATACTGATTTTGCATAAAAGATTAGCCAAAAGATTATTTTTAAAAGATACCATGATTATAAAAAGCTAGAGAGAATTGCTTATTAGTTGAAAATTAATAGTAATTGTATTAAATTTTTCATAAGCCCTCTGCAAATCATAAACAGGCATCAAAAGCAAGAATATATTAAAACAGAAGCAGCACAGAAAGTGAAATAAATGTGTATATGAAAGGAACAAATGAGAAAAAAATCTAACCATTTCTGCTCCAGATTTTTTAGAGTTCCTTAAAATGAAAGGAACATCTATTTTAATGTTTGTTATCACTAGGGTTATTAAGTTTTTAATCTAGAATTTTTGAAGAATTGTAGAAAGTTGGTATTTCTCCTGTCCATGGAGTATTATGAGATGCAGACACAGGAAGGCACACACAGTCCATGAGGACATGGATGGTGCGGTGCAGACAGCTTACTGGGAAAAATATCATCATGACAAATACAAGGAAAAACTAACATTAACACATTTACAGCTGAAGCAAAAGTTTGTGAACAATGTTAATTGTGTTTGCAAAATGAAATGTTACTAAAGAAAAAGAACTGCAGTTCTATATCAATGGCAAGCGTAGTTGCTTTTCCACTCAGTAATTCATGCATATGGTTGGTGCTATGCTAGTACACAGTGACTGTGCACTAACTCCACCATTATCAAAATGCTACTTCTAATACATCATTAATTAACTGTTTGCAGTTTATGGGTAGACAAACTACAAAACCATGCAATTATCTTTCGAAGAACATGGTAACGATTGAAAAATTATTTCATGTCATTAAAATAATCTAAACTATTGAAGCCATTTTCTTTATGTTATTTCTAAAAAGTGAACTCAAATTATAAAAATGATCAGGTTAAAAATTACCACATCAGTTTATAACATCTTATTCCAATACCAATACATGAATGCACCAAAACAGAAAAAACCCTGCAAATCTAGTAAATCATCAAAGTAGTACTATAATCATTCATCAGAAAATAACTAGAGATACTAATTTCCTTTTAAACAAATACTTATGGAAACAAACACGACATTTTCTTCATTAATAAACTAAACTGAAACCTGTGCCATATAGCAGAGGGATGTACATATGCATTTGACAGTCTTTAAAGTCCTACATTATCAAGATAAAGTACTGAAGCTTTAATACTGTATATATGTGATTTCTGAAGGTATAAAAACATAGTAACTGAAATAAATGACCAAAAGGAAGCTTTGGGATTTAAAATAATGACTGACTAATGTTGCAACCTTAGTGCTATTGAAAAAAACAATCACTATTTAAGAAACAGCTTCCCTCAGATGCTTAAAGCATGTTTCAGATTTTTAACAATGACACTATATTATTACTTTAGAAGGCTCTTATTTCTAAAATGCATATACCTAACTCTCGAAATTACTAGTTATATAATATTGGTAGAAATAGTAAGGTTATGAAATTGTTTCTCAAAACAACCAAAACATTGCAAAAAAAAAAAAAAATTGGCTGCTGGAGCATTGTGAAATTGTTGTAATTTTAGCTTACAAACATTCCTATCACTACTTAAGCACTACACTGCTTTCCCACCACTCATTCTCATCAGGTGTACTGGGTCAGGGACTGCATATTGTGCAGTTAACTGCACCAAGGGACTAAGTCCAAGATTTCTTTTGGATTGTGTTATTTTTCATCTATATTGGCTATTTTAGATTATTTGAGTCCAGCCATATCTGTATTTGCAGTAACAGAGAGTGGCGGTGAGAAAAAACAGCTGTGAGATGGAGACTGATTCTGGCTCTAGTCTTGAGTTTTTGTTGACCTATGCCCTTGCAAAAAATTCTTTAAAGCTTCTACATCCGTAAATGTAACAAAGAAGTTACTTTATGCTGAAAAACCTTAAAGGAAAAAAAAGTTTTACTTTTTCTGAAATTTGGTAGTAAGCCCCATCCCATAAACTGTAGAGTACAGGTGTACAATCTGTACTAAAGGACTAAACTGCTTTATAAACAGCACTTGCAGAGCTGTTAGAAATGGCATTACTCAATACTTAACTGGTATCTACAACTCCTGTTACATTAAAGTATTAATGATACATATTTCCACATTAATTCTTTAAACAATTTGCAGTGTTTTGGCAATTAAACTTTGCTTTGGTGCTCAGAATTATTTTCTTTCTATTTGACAGAATTTAATATTTTCACTAAAATTTTAAACTGAGTCTGCATACATAAACCACTAAAAAACATTACCATACACAATGTCAGGTGTAATTAGCACTTAATTAACTCACCCCTTTATCTCCTCTTGTTTTGGAATTGAATTTCACTGTCTTTAAACGGGCTCGTTCTTTTTTCTCAACTCTACCACAAAAACATACACAAAAATGGAAAAATCAGCAAAATTCCAGAACACCTGCAGAAAATGGAAGCCTGCTAATGCCAAAGTGTATTGGGAAAGTAGGGTGTTGTTTCTCAAGTGATGAGCTGTGAGGATATTGGAGTGATTTGTGATTATATAGGTTCAATAAATCCAGAGGGTGCAAAGAGAAAACATGATATAATGAGTGAACAGCCTCAATTATGAGTAAACAGCAGATATTAAAACTCAGAGCACTCAATCTATGATTGGAGTCTCTAGTATGTGAACAAATACCTTGTCTCCATTTACTCTGGCCACCAAAGAAATATTTGCCAGTTTTCCAGGTTCCGGGTAGAAGAAATTCATGACAGTGTCATGATTCGAACAAAATTCACTTTACATCTTTTCATAGATAATTGGAGAAATTACTTATTAATCAATTCCTCTTTAATTAATTAATCATCTTTAATAAATACTAAATACTCTACTATTCATTAATATTAAGTAGTATTACGCCTATAACTTGATTAGAGTGAGAACAGAGTAATGTACTTGAACGACCTTTACCAAATTCAGCACACAACTAAGGCTAAAGAGAATTTAACAAACATCTCATTGAGTTAGTCAGAATCCCAATAGAGGTTACTTCTTTAAAAAAAAAAAACAAAAAACAAAAAACAAGTGGCTGACGTGGTACAAAATTACAAAGAGCAAAGCATATGCAATATATGTATTAATCATATCAGATGTTTAACAGCAGGCATCTCAAAGTCAATAAAATATGACATACCTGCGTTTGCTTGGGATAACTCCAATTTCATCACTTTCTCCATCTGGAGTTACCTGCCGTGCTTGCCACCATTCATCATCAGAAGCATTAATGACATGGAGAATATCACCAAATTTGAAGTTCAATCCTTGACTTGGAAGGCCACTATCTTTAGTCTTGTCATAATCAAAAAGAGCTCTACATTGAAAATAAAAAATTAAACATAGAAAAAGAAAAAAATAGGGGACTATGAAAGCACAAAATATGAAGCAAGCAGACTGCATTGGTCACAAATGATTGCATCATTCTGACAGTTGCTTAAAACAAGAATGCTGAATGCTTTTTCTCTCTCTCTCATATGTATCCACATACACTTGTAAATTTTAACGAATGAGAACAAACTTAATCCAGAGCAAAACTCTAGTGCTTTATAAAAGGTCCACATAAGGTGCCTCCTGCAATTCAGGAAGTACTTTGCATAGAGCAAGTTACTTATCAGCCAAGGATAAAAAAAGGCAAGCGAGTATTTGAAGCATACAGCACTGTCAAAAGTTCTGTAATGTACACTGTTTTACATCAAGTTATAAATTGAAATTATTTTAGTAAATAAAAGTTTCTGTCTGTCTTTAAAATGAAAGTCACTATCTTGCTCACAGGGTTGCAGGGGAAAAAAAAAATTAACTTAGAAATATGATCTGACAACAACTTTGCTACTGTAGTACCCAAAGGCAAAGAACCTTATGTCCATACTTTTTGGAAAATTCCCAACTGTTTCAAAAGAATGTCATCCTTTTTTCTAAGGTAGTCCTGTTTTCAAATAGGCACTAACAATACCTGAACATCAGCTTCAGTGCCGGCTATAGTTTTATTAACATTCCCTTGGTCAGCAAGGTCAGTTTATGCAAGCCCACTATTATCCACACCCACATTCACGCCTGCTTTGTACTGACTCCTTTCCCCTTTACTGCTTATGAAAGCACAGTTGTCTGAAAAGGCACATGGTGCACCATTCTGCAGAGCTGGTCTGGGTTAAAATTAATTTATTTTCTCCCTGTTGGATCATTTTATATCTGGATCAGTCCCCTGAGGAACTGAAGAGACCTGCAGTACGTTTCACCCAGCACAAACAAGGGTTTAGTGAGGATGTGGAAATGAACGACGACTGAAGTCTCTTACCAAATTTTAAGAGATACTCCTAAGATTATGCCTTATAAAGGACTTTTATTTTACATTTGAAAAAGATGTATGAACCTCACCAATGTGAAATGAGATGTGCCTGTATTACACAGGCTAAAAAATTCTCAACTTTATTTCATATGCAAGCTCATACATTTGTCACGTGATGTACATTCTAAACGATACCCTATCCTGATTTAGAGGCTTGATACTGTCCATCACAAAGTAGCATCAATCAATTACAATGTGATGATTTAAAATGGTGTGCTTTTCCTTGTCCAAATTGAGTTCATTTATTCATCCCAAACAATAGCCTTATGTACCTTTTTCTGCTAGATTTTTATTGTTTCAAAAATTTTTTGACCCATATAAGCACCTGTAAGTCATAACTGCTCCAAAATGTATTTTAGCTTTGTTAATTTTGCCTTTCTAAAGCACTGAGTGTATTACTTCAGGTTTGAGCTGCATCTTATTTGTTCGTAACCAATGACAAATTGCTTACATGGAAAAAAATGCAAAAATTTTCTGTCAGATCAATTAATCTTCAACGTAAGGTCTACTGAAAAATGAGTTGTTTGAGACACCATGCCTTTCTTGGGCCATAAAAAGCATTAAAAACTTTTCATACAGGGCTAAAGGTTTTAATAAATATTTGCTAAAATGTCTAGAACAAGACACAAATTTTAAAATGGCTTAGAAATATTTACTCTCATGATAAAAAATATATTTAACTATGCAATGCTTTTAATTTGTTAAGTTTATAATAAAATTTTTACTTTCAATTTTGAAAAAGCTTGAAGGTTGAAATACCACCTTCCTGCAGTACTGCAACCCCCATTATAACATTTTTCAGTTTAATTCCATAATATACTTCATAATATTGATTCTTTTAAAAAAATCAGAATTCTTATTTTCTTTGAAATAACCCAAATAGTGCAGGTAAGAAACATACACATCTAGTATTTATTAATCCAGATTTATTCTGCACATTTTTGTTCACTAAGCACTCTGGACAAATATTCCATATCTCAAAATAAACTGCACATAATCCATTATGCACTTTTGATGCAGTTTCAAGTTGTATACATTTTCACTGAATTAATTAAATGCATAATGAAATTTATTTTCTGAGAATTCTTGTTAGCATGCAAGCAATGATTTCTACCAGCACTACTTTTAACTTCTAGGTTTTAGTTTCAATATAAACTTAGATGAGTAGTGAGCTGGGCCTAACAGCATTAACATACGTATATTTGTTCTCATGCAGACAACACAAGAGTGAAATGGAAGTGCAAATGGATAAAAACATATATTATCAACATGTGCTCTTCCAACTAGATAAATGGTTACACAGAATAGGTTTTGCACAATGAAAAGCAGTTTCATCAAATACTTTTCTTCTGTTGCAGTCACTTCAAGAAAAATAATTTTATTGGGAAAAAATCAAAGCTGATAGAGACACTTTTATAATAAAATTAATTAGGGCATCACACAGTAGTGACAAAACTATGCTGCTAAAATTTATAGGAACACCAGAAACTGGTAATGATCAAATGAGCCAAAAAGCAAACAGAACTAACGAAAAGCTCTTGCGATTCCAACTGATAAACATGGCTTTTCCTGTATGCCTGGCAAGGCATCAAACAAGAACTCATTTCACAGCCAAGATGACATATTTATCTACAGACTGGTGCATAAAAAAATCTCTTTTATTAACTCCCTCTATGGAGACTTATATTTTACAGAGAAATCACCAAGTCCTCCCTTTCATTTTACCTTGTATTACTCAGCAACTAAACAGCACTAAAAAAAGGTAACTGGGTTCCTTCTTTTACAAGTCTACACAAACTGAAGTTAAGTCACATGTCTCATGAGTGTTCATGCTTCAAAGCCAAAAATTTAATTGCTGTACAGTCAACGGTGCCAAATTTTCCAGAATGTCTTTTTACCTGGCCACACTCAGTACTTTCAATATCATAGGCTGCTTATCAAGTTTTACTGAAGCATTTCTTCTTTTAGGGTACTCTTGCTGAACAAAGCAACAAGGAATTCCTGCAGCAAAAGCATCTCCATGTCAAAAGCATCTCCATGTCTTATTTCATGAAATATGAATTAATCTTACCACTTCAGAATGAATGAAGGTAGCTTATAAAGGAGGTTCTCTTTCTCTCCCTCAGTTTTTGGGAAAGCTGTTTGAAACTAGATGTTTCAAACTAGAATAACATAGGGATGCCAAAGTAAAGTCCTGCAGGCACGTACACTTTTCAGGCCTAGTGCTAATGCCAGATCTTAGTTTTGAGTGGATTTATTTAAAACTTCCTAATGATTTCAAAACTGTAAAGTTTCTTCCACTTGGATATGCAATCATTTTCTGCTCTGATTCAAGCAGAAATCAGCACCATTGTTTGAATTTGAAGTGTATCGTGCTGTCAGAAAAACGCACAGAGGTAGAAGTAATTTTCATTTTTGAATTCTATGCATATTGCACAGACTGAGACTGCATACAAGATGAGATAAAACATGGAACAAAATTTACTCACTCTCAACATAGTATCATAGAAACTTGATACCATGAAGGCATCTCACCTATTCACATGTGGTTTTTGAATCTACAGATGAAGAAGAGCATACAGATATAGATAAAGCTCGGATGTAAAAACAAAAACACTGTATGAGAGAATCTCTCTCCTCTTAGAATAATGAACAAAAGAAATAAGGCAAAAATAAGAGAAGTCCATTAAATCAGTACATCCTAATTAGAAGGGAGGAGAGAGAGAGAGAGAATTAGATGTTCAAACAAAGAATTAGCTGCTGCTGAACTGCCGTATTTGTATTGCCCTACAAGGACTATTCATCATATATTGATATACATACAATTAAGAAGAAAAATCTGCCATTTTACTTCACACTGTATTTTGAGGCACACAATTGTCTTTTCCTTGATATTACATAACATGCCCAAAATGCTGTTTACAGGCAGACTATTCATAAAGATATCAAGCTTCAGTTATGGGAACACAATGCTGTATCTCTTTTCATCTGCTATTTTGTTACCATGATTTTGAGAAATCTCCAGAGATTATTATTTTTATTTTTATTTGACAGGCTTTCTACATTTATGGTTGAATGCCTATAAACATTTTACTGTTAGATTTACCATTCGATTCAGCATACGTTATGTAATTGGAGTCCTTTAAGGCATATCTAAAATCAAACATTACACAAAAAAAGAGAGCTTCGGTTACTAAAATTAGCTTTGGATTGGTACGATTAAAAGCAGAGAATGATCATGCTAGAGTGACATAATAAGGAATAAGCCGGATAGCTAACACATTCTGTCAGTATCTAGCAAGATGTGAAAAGTTTCATAAAACTTACTTCAGTGAGGTCAAAATTACATCAGAAACCAGACAGAACAGATGTGAACCCATCCTGTGTATATGAAGTTGCCTACCAGTCTTTTGGCATCTTTTGGTGTGATGACAAGAGCAGATCTCAAAAGCCCTAGCAGCAACCTCTGTTAAGAGATGTGGGTGGAAAAGCACTTTTCCTGAGGAATTTTTGCATTTTAGATTTTTGTTACGACTTTTAACAAAGCTGATTACCTAGTCCCAAAAACCTTTCTTGCAAAGTCTCCACAAGGCTTCCGCCAACAAGAGAAGGCTGCATTTTCTGCAGCAGCCGGCAAAGTCAAAAGCTCACTCTTAGTCATTTACAGATAACAACTTCCAACAGTGGAATAAAAGCTACATAAACACAAAATGCTTGTCAGCAGCTTAAAATACCAGACCAATGTGTGAACATGATCATAAGTGGTTTAGAACCTAATCAGACTACAGCTAACCAAGCAAACTAAAAGCATTTATAATTGTTCAGGCTTAGTTATATGATGACAACTAAAGCAGTAAATTTTGGGATTATGGAAAGGAAGATGTCGCCACAATACCCATATGTACACCTACTTGTGGAAATTCCAAGACATGGATAACTGATGAAATCAAGTACTTACCCTTAGGCATTTATGCTTAGAGATTTAAATTTTGACCCCAAAAAATATTTAAGACAGACAAAGTACAGAAAAAAAGATCAGCTCTGCAAAACCAGAATTCAGATAAAGCTACTAAAATAACTGGTCAAAACATAAGGGCTACATGTTAAAGTCAACCTAACAGAAGCCCTGTATGAGTAATTTGCTACGTTTAAGTCTTCAGAAATAGGCTTCAAAGTACAGAGAGACTTTTCTGAGCATACATGCAATTACTCAGGTAACTGCCTTGTGCAAGACTTGCTTCCTTTCCTGTAGCTCAACAGAGAGAGCACCATCAACAACACAGTATCTGCTCTGGATGAGAAAAATCAATAGCACCCAAGCCTAGGCTTTAGCAGGTATGCCAGTGAGGTCCCACAACATTTTAAATCAAGTTTAACCCAAGCACCAGCACTATGGAAGTCTTTCCTGCCCTACTAAGATGTTCTGGCCCCTGCCAAGAGGCTACTGCTGACCCTTATTCAGTCCAGAGATGAACTGGTTCAGAGAACTCAAAATCAATTCATTTTTTAAATGGAATCCTTTTACTCACATTCCATTCTTGAAACATTATGCTTTATCAGTATATGATAACTGATGTTGGGAGTTAGCTGGCACATTAATGAGCTGCACCTTGCCACAATTTCCCAGTGAAACCACCTATTTTTGCTTAAATGCTTCATGCTCTTTTATATTTCCACTTCCTTTTAGCCTCCTTGATGTTTAATTCTATGTGAATAAATTAATGAAGACTGTTCAGTTCATTTGCATTGATGCATTTGCTCTCTGGGTTACCATGGAAATTATTCTATAGCAAATGCTATTGGATCTAGAAATAAGATTTCTTAATATAAGCTGAGAATACAGCTCAAGTAACCTGAAGGAAGTAAGATGAAAATCTGTCAAAGCTTAAGGGGGACTATAAATTTGAAGTCAAGAACTGAACGAGGGAAAATATGAAGACTACGGTCACAGAAACACAAACTGAATTAAGCAAGCTGTTAAGACTTCATATACACTGACTTAAAAAATAAATATATGTTTTTGCTGAAGTATTATCATCTCTCAGAGGCAGGACAAAAAGCAAGTAATAGAACCAAAGTTCCCATAGGGTTCTTCTTTTTCAGCTCTATTAAATTAATCAATCAAAATTAAGCTTTATTTTAATATACTTTGCATATAAATATCAATTTGTTAAGTTTAATAATAAGTAAATAATTACATATAAAAGAAAATACTGAAATATTGAGTATATAGAAAAGCAGAAAAACACAGTAGAAATACTGTGAAAAAGATGATTACCTGACATATAGGGATCTCTTCTGGCTGGTTCGCAAAGATCCTGATCCTGAACTAATGCTACTGTTCATCATCTGTTCCCGTAAATCATGTATTTTAGCTTCAAAACGACTGTATTCTGTAAGAGAGGGAGGCACTGAAATTCATTTCCCCTGAACTTTCACAATTAAATTACAAAAATGCTAAAAATATCAGAGAACAAGCATGTTACATCTTTTTCAATACAAGAAAACAACTCTCACAACCCCCAACATTTTTATTAAGCCCTGTACTCTGTAATTAAAATCTATAATAAACTTTATATTTATCAATATTCACTGAAATAAAATCTGAAATAACTATGATTAGACAAAACAAATAAACAAGTTATTCTTAAAAATTTAATAGGTTTTAATTTATAGTTCACAGTAACTATTTTTTTCTAAGTAACAGAAACATTTTTATTAATAAGTATTATTTTTCTAGTAATAAAGAGACTGATAGAGATAAATATTAACCTATGACAAAAAAAACCCCTTCAGAACATGCATGTGAAATACTTTAAAATTTTAAATGTTAAGAAATGGGAATGAAAAGTATTTGTACTTTTAAATTACTGGTCTTGAACTAGATAAAGAATTTAACACTACAAGGTGGGAAATATGCAAAACATCTTCTGAATAAGACAGTGTTCCCATAGAAGCTGAGGAAAGGAAAAAAAAAAAATCCAGAATTCTGGCATGAATCTCGATCCACTTGTAAACGGCATTAGAGAGTCAAACTACCTCTACAGAATTATGTACAATGTTAATCCTGGGAAAACAGATTGTGTTCTTAAGCATCACTGTGTACTAATAAAACTAAGCTAAATGCATTTGATTTTAGCTACAGAGGTAGACAGTAAAACAGTAATAGCTTCTTCTGGACAAACATTTCCTGAAGCAGGTACTCACATGCTGTCAGAATAATATATAAACTCAAAGCAAGTAAGTTTTTCCTTCAGCTGAATAGTTTGGATTTCAGGATCAACAGATCCACTTGTAAAAAACCTTCCTAGTTAAAGGAAACGTTCTGCAGCCACCACCTTCGCCAGGAGACCACATGATGCCAGACTATAACAAGTCAACACTAGGAGAGCCAGGGTGTGTTCAAGCAGCTGCTGAACTGGGTAATGTGTTGCTGCTCTTCTTAGTTGCACCCTTATTCCCTGAGGGCATCAAATTCACCCAGGAAATGCGAGAGTGATAGAGAGGGCTCTAAAATGCAAAAATCTTGAGAACATCTCTAAACTAAGGTTCCTTCAACAGTCATCTAAATACTATGAATGATTTATCATATTACAGCCTATAGCACTTTCTCCCCACACACTCATCAGACAGTGAGCACTGAGACTCACAGACTAACCAGAGAAGAAAATGCTATGTTACAGAAGAATATTCTGTGAACCAGTTCCTGGCATATCACTTCGTTCATCAAGGTTACTATAAATCTGATGCTCTAGCAATAGTAATTACAATTAAACCTATCCCATTTATGATAATATGAACAGTCTCTTAAATAACCCTGGCTTTTGTCCTTCAAAACCACAAGCTAGTAGTTTTTAAGGTAGTATCTTGATTTTTAAAACAGCATCAAGTACCTTTTTATAAATAAAGTCCACGAATAAAGCACTAAATCAGGCTGATGAGGTTGTTTGACAAAAGACATAAAAACATTATTTCCACCACTACCAATACTAATAGCAAAAGAATTTAAGGTGACAGGATGGTAACCTTAAAGGAATGTGATAAAACTGTATTCTTTAGAAAGCAATATCCCTTAGGGGAAGGACCCAGATGCAGAGAGAGGACTGTCTACTCATGTGCTACTGCTGTGCTACTGCTGCACGGCATGGCCTTGGGTGAGTCACCTCATTTTACTCATTTATACCTCTCAGCTGTCTCTTGGGTGTTTGGGAAGATTAAAGCTCTAAACTTCAAACATTCTACCAGAATGGTAGCTTTGATTTCTGACATAGATTTTTTTATGCCCCCTGTGTGAAAGGAAAGTAAGCATGGAGAAGACCAGATAATCTTGTGTCACAGCCTATCCAGTACTGAAAATATCCACAGTTCTTTGCAATAGCTACTGGAAAAGTCTACAATTTTCTGTTAAGAAAGTATCATGTGTCATCTGTTGCAAGAATCAGCTTTCCTCCTATGTAGCATGTAGTATGTAAGAGAGTTACCAGGGAAAGCTATTCCTTACTATCGCTTAATTCTATTTTATCCTATATATCATCTTCATGTTGCTGGTCTTGCAGTTTCCTGGGGTAATTCAATTTTTCCAATCAGAACTCCCAGGAAGTGCTGAATAAGTGACAAGGACATCTGTAGGAGTAAGAAGGAGATTAAGAATAATTTCTACATAGAGGCTCTGCCATACCAATAAAGCAAGAAAGGAAACTAATGGGCTGGGATTGAGAAGGCTCTATGTTCAAAATGAAGGAGTGCCAAGAGACGTCATATTTCGGAAAAACTTGAACACTCTGGGCAGATGGAATCTGGTGAACTTCTTTGATGTAAAGCAAGTTAAAAATTTGAGTTATATTCTCTTACAGAAGGTTCTAGGAGGAACAGGATGGATAGAAATCTCATAATCTTGATTTGGATTTGGAGCTGGAAAGTAGATAGTATTTTGGTTTTTAAAAAAGAAAGCTTGTTATTTGATACAGTGGTACTGAACCTAATGTTGGAGACAGAAAATAAGACAACAGCAGGACTCTTGATAGCATCAGAAAAGCAGTATCTATTTGGTACCCAAAGGATCAGCACCTATACCCTGTTTGACTAACTTGGCTTCGTTCAACTTCAGCATTATAAAGTGTAAGTGCTGCTAATCTGTCCAGGAGAGGTTATACTTCTATCTCTGTGATTAAGAAGGTTGAATATCAACTGTCTTTAGCACCTTCAATCTCTTATTAAACTGAAGAACACTGATGCCATCTGGTAGTTTATGAAATGTAAATAAGTAATTGCAGGATAGCACTCAGAAGTGCCTCCATCTTACCTGCCCTACAAGAGGGGAACACCATAGCCAACAGCTGGTAGCAGTACTGGAGACTCATATGTGAGATGCATATGTATCAAATGCAATCCATACAAAATGCATTTTTATTTGATTACAGAAGCACCAAAAAAACTACATACACACCTCTAAGTTTTTAATCAATCCCTGTAGTAATACTTTACTACTTATTAACTGCAGGGAAAAAAAAAAAAAAAAAAAAAAAAAAAAAAAAAAAAAAAAAAAAAAAAAAAAAAAAAAAAAACACAGCAAAGAAATTACAGAGAAGTAGCATTGAATTTACACTAATGAAAAACTTCATATAATGGGTGTACCAGGCAGAGATGACTTTGTAAGAAACCCCTTAGCTAAAATAACATAAAAGCAGAAGTACCAGATAAAACCAAAAGCACAATCTTTGATTCATGTTTGTCTCTCTCACTGACAAGAAAGCAAGTATTTAGGGATGAGAACTAGGCAAGCAGAGAATACCTGCCCTTCAAGTATTTTCAATATGTACAGAATTTCACCACATGTTTAAATTACCTCTATCATTCAGCTTATCGTCACTAGATTCTCCCAAATGCTAGAGAACTGTTTCCTTTACAATTCTTTTCCTTCTTATGGGGTATATCCAATATTACATCTATAATTTATGACAAAATTGATATTTTCCCCCCTAAATCACAGTGAACAGCACTATGAAATTCCACATGGCTGTGTGACCAAGTCAGACAATGCACATATAAATATAAAAGCTTTTCTTAAAAGTTTTATTTTGCCACTTCAACATTACAGAAATTTGGAGCTGCAACAGGCACAGTGAACATGATAAGAAAGACACTGCTTTCTTGGTTAAGAGGAAATGAAGAGGTTGGCTAAGAAGGAATATGATTGCTCTAATGTAATCGGAGTAACCATACAGAAAGGGCATTAAATGAAAAAGCAAACTTTAACCCAAATGGAGTAGGCTGGTCACACAAACTCCATCTACAAATATGCTTCCAATTTCCACAGCCACCAAAACACTGAGATTCTGAAATATTACTGTAATTAGAACTATGGTGGCAGAAGAAACACAGACACCCCCCCCCCAATGAAATTACAAAACAAAACCACAGAATCCAAAACCCTCAATCCTTTCACATAAGAATCTGACCAGGATTTGAAACTTGATGTATATGCAACAGCAGTGAGTGGGACTTAACTCAGTATCTCTTCTAAATGTCCTGAATTTTAGGAAAGCTGCTGATGCTATACATCAAAGGGTAATAGGCAGCAAGACTAACATGAAATGCAATAAAATGAGAGCATAACAGTATCAGTTCTTGGCTAGAATTTTCTCAAAGTTTCTAATAAGTTTAGGGGCAGGGAGGGAGTAGTACCTGCTATTATAACACAGAGCTTAAGGAAGTGCAAGCATCTGCTGCTTCAGTTCATGGCATTTATCCAACCGTACCCCACCATCACAAAAAAAAAAAAAAAAAAAAAAAA